ATAAGTTGCAGTTCCTCATAGCTTTCTCCCCAACACTTACTGAATGAAAATCCCATACCCAGCTCTTCCACCGTCAAGTATCTCGGCGTTCTTTTGTCCCAAAACCTTTTTTGGACGGCTCATGTCTGTAAAACTTTTCAAAAAATCAAAAACTTTCTTTTTATGCCCTCAGACTCAAGTTGCTTTCAGTACCTCGTACTTTAATATTCAGGTTTGTGACCTCTTGTATTATTCCCCTTTGGCTATATTGCTCTCCTGTCATTTTCGCTGGACTGCTTCAGAAGGAGTACATTTTTAGTGCAATCTATAAAGCACATTACTAGATACAGCGACTTGTCTAGATCTTTTTTAGTTTATGCGATCATTTTTAGATATCTTGATGCCAGTAATGATTTACATCTAGGATACTAACTGATCGATTTCATCCACTTCACAATGGTCTTCCCAAAACGCTCTCTTTCTCTTCTACTCGCTCAAAATTCAGAATTTCATTCTCCCGCACGTCATCGTATCGTAATACTGTTTTGCTTTCTCTCACGTTTGCTTGTTGACATAGCAAAAGTCACTAACATGCTGCGCGAACGTTTGTTGGAGTAACAGTTCTGCTTTTTTTCCTTTTTTCTACCCAAACATGTATATTGATATTATCATCCAGGTGTCCGTAGTGGTGATGTAAATGCTGAAAATGAACCCATTAGGGTTCATAAAGCTTATTTTGACTTGAATTACTTGGGAAATGGTATAGTTACCTCTCTCACATGCTGTCGAACCGCGCAGATCCATCGGGTCCCGTACATTTGTTAACCGCCAGCCGGCTTCTCCCCCCCCCCCTCACTTCCACATTCCCCACTGGCTTATTGTTACAACTAGCCGTTTTTACGTTCTTATATCACAAAGTAAAGCATGAATCAAGTCAGCTGTGCCGTTCATTCATTCGCATACACTGGATGCGCTTGGACATTTAGGCCGCCGGGTACAGTTCTGATCAACTGGCTACCTAGAAAAATGCTTTGCGAAAGATCATTGAAATAGTGCTTGCTTAGTCAGTACGAAGCTTGGCGTGTTGTTTTGTGTAATTTCAGTGCACCGTACTATGGTTAAGTTAACTGACTTACAGCTTGACCATTTGTCCGTTTGCTCCTCGTTAATGTGCCGCAGTCCTTTCTGTGCGGCCACACTTCCATAGCCGTGCACCGATGCTCCGCGCATATGCGCATGCACTCTCATTTGTCTGCATTTACACATGTATTATGCTCGTGAATACACCACCATTGTCCAGTTAAGGGGACGGCCCACTGATTATACGGAAGTGCGCTGGCAGTGTTTGGCCTAACAGCATCTTCGCTTTTGATCATCCAATCGATCCGCGTTACAGCGTTGATCGTGCCCCTCTACAACCTACCACCTCGAGCACTTGGTTTTTCAATTACCTTCGCTCGTGATAGTTTCGTACGCGCCTTCGTTGCATCAGGCGTCAATGTTGTTGGTGCTCACACATGTTTCAAAATTTGTCCAAATCCCCTCATTCCTTTGAGGTGACTGTGACTATAATGTTTTGTTTTTTTATTTGGTCGATCTGGAATGCCACGGATGTCTACACAAGCACACACACACGCGCGCATACGTCCGGCATTGGCTGTCCTTGATTCGAGGTTACAGACAGTAAGATGTGTGATGGTCATTGACTAGTCGACAGTGTCTTCTCATGTGTATTTGTATGCGTGTGTATGCGTGGTATGTGATTATTGAGCTTCAGGTTTGAGTTCTGTTCGAATTTGTACGCGACCGCTTCCGGACTTTGCGCCCTCATTCCACGGTCCTGCGAACCCCCTGGTGCACTAACATACGCTCACATTCACACAAATGCTCACAATCGCGTACACCTGTTGTTTCCGTGGTTGCCACTGGTGTGGCATGGTGGAATGATTTGTAATTGAGATCACCGGCCTCGTTGTCCACGTTGTTGAGGTGAACGAAATGAGGCGGAACTGGTCCAACGCGTCCAATCGATACTTGTGCATAGCCTTTAGGTCGATCGACCGAACTAGGTGACTTTATGCACTCCTGATCACTCTTTGTGTACCGGCAAAGGTCTACTTATTTCTAATATGCATTACTATACCGTGGAGCTATTTCCCGTTCTGATGCCACGAAATTAGATTAGAACGAAGCGTTAGATTTCCTTAGGTGGATATTTCAAGTGAACGGTAGAACGAGTCACTTGTACCATCCACTAATATGTTATTATTCATGGTAAACGTAGATCTCACTTACTACCGTCTTTCTTTCCTTCGCACTCACTAGCTCGCATACACCCTTGCTTGGGCCAGTCTAACTGCCGCTTTACTGCAGTTGCTCCTCCGTTCTCTTTCCGTCGTGCTTCACTGACTGTGTATTTGATGGTGCCACCGCACACGGAGCAGTTGCTCAATTTGTGTCATAACACATGCGTCATTCGGCCTCTCAGTTTCCTCTCGTGACTGCGTCAATAGAACTTCTTTATGCGTTCCAACTAAACGGTACCATTAACACGACTCGATCACTCCTCATTTCTGTCAACTAATTTGAACCCAACACTAACTGTATGTGGTGAAATTGAGTCTGCTTAGTCGCTTTCTCTGAACCGTAATATAGGACCCACACACGGCACTGCGATCTCATGGCCCCAAAACTATTGCGTACACATCTGAGAGTGTGAACACAAGAGCGCAGTTGATGCGTTTTCTCGCACTATTCTTCTATAAAGGCCTCAACGATGTATACGATGTAGGTAACATTCGCTATAAGTGCGAGTGACCTAATTGCATTCTATAGGTATGACAGCTCTCAATCACCTCTCAGTCTGTTTTTAGCCTTTTGGTTGGCCTCACCTAGAAAACTCGCTTCGATTGAACATGATCTTCAACTAAAAGGTCGTGAGCTACTTCCATCGCTCGTATTAAAAGATAAGGCTCTCTGTCACTCACTCTTATGTGTGAGTGCTTTTACTAAGTTGCACCCATTGCTGAATAAATAAAATCGTACACATCACCGGCAACTCATTTGAGTAAAATGGACAGCATTTTCTTGTACGGTATCTTCCACGTTCTGATCCGCTCATACTTACTTTTTTCCAATCCTAGTCCCAGACCACCTTATCTAACCTTTACATTACGCTACTCCGGTACACATAATTCTGCACCTACCTGAATGAAGTACCTTTCTACTATTTCGGGCCCTAACAGCCCATTTTTAGACCGATCCATTGCCACAGACGTGTGGTTCGCCGTATTACTAAAATTGTTTGCATCCTTCGTACACTTTCTGTGCGCGCAAAGTTCCAAACTTTGTGTATTGCTAAGTTCTCTAACAGCCACCGACGGTTAAGCTTTCCATATTCCACCGGTGCTTATCTGGTGTGGCTGGCATTGTAGCTGATTCACTCCGGTCCTTTCTGACTTCTATATCGGATCTTCTTTCTAGCTATCATTTGTGACAATTTTTCTCTCCCGGATTCTTGTTCATCTTTGTCGCTCCCACTGGGCCAAACAGCCGATGTATGGTTTCTTTTGGTTAACCGCACTCTCCTAAAGAGTCTTTTTCTCTTTTCCATACCATCTTCATATTAGCCGCGCCAAATCTTATTTATAGCTGGTCCTCCGATTGCTCACTTCCCGGTTTGTACATGCCTATCTCATGTGCTTGAATTGCCGCGACAGAAGTTTGTGCATCATGAATTGCTGGAGTCATCCTCATTCGTCTAGGGCATGAGAGTTATCCACCTACTTCCTCTATCATCCCATTGTCACAGCTTGACGAGCATCCTCACTCACTTGAAAGTAGCTCTTTTCCCAGTGGGCGACTCATTTATTGTTGCTTTCAGTACATTCGTCTGACAAGCTGACCTCTTTAACTAATGCGTCATAGCACTATCAGTGATTCGGTCCACTCAGCTTGTCCTCATCCGCGGATCTCTGTTGGGGCGCATTCGCTTGTTTGGGGTTGAAATCCCTTATGATTCGAAATACGCTCATATATATTCGTTCGACGGAGAACGCTTATTTATCATGATACCGGGCCATATCTTGCCACTTCCGTATTCATTGTCTTTGTTCATCCTCTGCAAACATATTTTCGCAGCATTCTATACTTTGTCCGGTCTGTGACTGAGTAATCCATGCACTTTGCTTGTACGTTACGAGTTACCGGTCCGAATCTACTTATATGCGAAGGCTTCGCAGTGTATGCCCACTGACACGCAGTCACTGGTGTTTGCCCGCTGACGAAGCATCAGCGCGGGGTTCCGGCTTGTTATTGACCCTACTTATACTTCGCCTGCTTTCACCCGAATTCCGTAGCCCTGACTCCATACTTTGTGCCAATACACCTAGGCCATCGAGGCTGTTTTCATGGTGGGCGCTTGCTTTTGGACTTTGTTTACACTTGTTCCCACTACATTAGTCAACTCGAATTTTGCTTTGTATTTTTCGGATCCCTTTTATGGGCTTTAGTGCTGTCTGTCCCAATTTCATGGACCCGATTCGGACACCGGCAGTAATAATTCGCAAGGCAAGTCGCACCGTCGTCTAACGACTGGACGCGCACCAGCTGCTTTGAGCGTGTGTACACTTTTACTATCCCTCCCTCAGCTGCCTACGTATTCTCGCAAATCGATCGATCTGTTCAACCGGCACGTACTGTTTACACCCGTTTGAGAGAATATACACTTGCTTATCATTTTACCATCTCGCACCACTAGTCCCGCCCCTACTAACATACCGTGTGTGTAACGCATAAGGACTTCCGATTCGTTACGCTGCTGGCATACTTAGTTGGGCGTGTCATTGTTGCCTTATGTGCATATTAACTTCTTTTATGGTGTCTGCCTTCGCTAGGCTGCTCAAAACAGTTTCATCATTTGTTTCGATAATTTCACTTGTAAACGCCATGAGTTGCATAGCGTTCCAGCGGCCATCTTTGAGATTATGGAAGAGGACATTTGACGTCCCCTCTTTTTTCAGCTGTTCATGCTGCATGCGGCATTTTGACTTCCAGTGGCTTTCGAGAGCTCAGCGAGTCTGAGCCCTGGAAGTTAAGACCCATGGACTGCGTGTTTGTGAAGAAGAATGGCTCCACAATACTCGCTGCTGCCGTGGGTGGAAAATTTAAGCCGGGCAACGGCCTTCATCTCATCGGCGCTCACACAGATAGTCCGTGTCTCCGATTGAAGCCAGTTTGTGACCGTACAAAGGAAGGCTATGTGCAGTTGGGTGTGGAGACATACGGTGGCGGGTTATGGTACACTTGGTTCGACCGAGAACTCAAGGTAGCCGGCCGCGCCGTGATGGCAAATTCCACCGGAAGATTGGAAGAACATCTGGTCCACATTGACCGCCCCATTGCATGTGTCCCCAGCTTGGCAATTCATTTGAATAGAGAAATAAAAACTCAAGGATTCAATCCAAACTCAGAACAACATTTGCTTCCTGTCCTCTGCACCTCGCTAATGGATCAGGTGAGTTCAGTTTCGTATAATTCATTTCGGTTTAGTCAGTTATGCTCGGAACACCGAAGAACAGTGAATGCACTCACTTTTGTTCGCATCGTCGCACTGAAACAGATAAAAATCATGCAGTCAGCCTGGATCAAAAAGTCAAGTTAACAACGATATACCTTTTGGATTAATGTAATGTTTTAAGCCCTATTTTTACTTGGTCGCGATAGCCTCTGTCTATCCACCGTGGCCCACTGGTCTTAGTCGTTGGCTCCAAATTGAAGGATCACGAGTTCCAATCCCTCACCGGACAGATGGATACACACTACTGATTAGTCCTGCAAGGACGAGATGACTTTTTACTTCGCTAGATGTACAGCGGTTATCTGTTTAGTTATAACTAACAAATCCTTAGAAAATTTTGCAATTTTTGATTGAATTAAGAGACCGAATTAATATGGGATTCTACCCCACTGACCGTCAATTCAATCGCGGTCCGTAATTCTCTCTGGAGGGAGTGATACTCACCGGCGGTTTCGACCATCTAAGGCGTGTCGTGACAGAACCCTCCGAGATAATTGGTTATGCGACCTGAAGCAAAAGCAATCCAGCCAGATCGTAATGCTCCGGTTTCTATGTCAACTGCGCCATGCGCTAAATGGCAGTCTCCGGCATTGTTCACTCGAAGCGATCATTCTGCAATACCTAGTAGGCACTTTGAGTCATGAAAACTAGTCTTTGATCTTGGCTTTGAGGCGCAGTGACTATGTCTCCGGCTCGCGTAATGAAGTGGACTCATAGTAGTATTGTATTTCATGTTTTCGATAGCCGGAAAATACCTGGCTTTGAGAAGCTACATGGGCCTTACTGGCATGCACAATGTGATATCAGATGCGTTACGCATCAAGTATCATACAAGGATTTAGCCATTTTATCCTTTCGACCGCCTCAAGTGGTTTTTTGGTGATAGTAAGCATTGACATTATGTCAGCTCAACGAGCGCTGATATTTGTATGCGTTCACTGTTGTTGCGCATCCACCCAAGATGTCTAATCAGTTGTCGCATACAGGTATTTGCACCTGAACAATCTTTTCACCTTTTCTGGACCGTCTCTCACACACAACAAGCACGCTGTTTTGTAGTCATCATGCTCTGTCAGCATGGTCCACCACCATCATGCTGCATATCATTGCTTGACAGCCACCATATCGGTCCTACCAAACGATTGCCTTTCACACACGTCCTACCTTAGAGCAACCACGTGCACTTTCTTCGTATCGGGTGTATTGAATGCTTTTTCTGGCCATCGTCAATTACTATTGTTGGTTGCACACGATTCTCTTATTGATGTTTGTCTGTTTGATCATGTGTACCAATGATCACGTAATTTTCAATCGTTTTTTCGTCATACTTGTGGTCACTTATTGCGCCTAGCCCCTCTCTTACCATATTTCTGTCAAACATTATTCCCTTATCCACGACATTAAGGAAATAGATGACTCCGTCGATCGATGCATGGGTTGCTTGCTGGGTTGGTCGTAATACTCCATCTACTTTTGCTAGTCACTGTACATGACTGGTAAGCTGCATATTACTCGTCGTCTGTTTTTCCACCTGCAACTAACTTGTATTATGCTGATGATGACGTCAACCTATGGCATTTAAACCCACAGAACGTAGGGTGCTCTTGCGATTTCCAATGTTTCCTATCTTAATGTGAAATAGGGGGCACAAATCATCTCATCTTGCAGTCTATAGCAATCTCATCGAGGTCGCGTGATGCTACGAAACGTGAAAATCACCGGTCACTAGGTTAGTTACTGTTGATCCGTCACTTTTCCCAGGCTGGAGCCAACACGAAACATCCTGTCCTTTGTTCGAGTTTCCGCAGCTTATTGTCCTCAACCTCCATCGATGGCGTATTTGCCCTTTTTTCCTGACTGAACTGGGTTTTAAGGATGCCTGACGCTGTTATGCGTAATTTAGGTTACAATTACGATGTTTTGCAGTAAGAGACACAGGAAATTTATCTCGTCGATTCTAGCTTATCCTCGTACACAAACTGATAGTTTTGGATTGTATGGTGTTGACAAAGTGTTATCATCTTGGTTCCCAGTGTCTAATTATCGCCTTTAAATTTTGATGTCCTTATGAGTAGGGGGTCTTGATGTAATTTTTGTAGAAATTTTTACTTCAAATCACCTATTTTCCCACCTTATCTCACTAAATGGGTTATTTTAGTTGGTATTTAGAGCAAAGCACCTTAGTGCATCTGTTTCTGATCTCGGTGTCGATGATTCTCTCGGGTTGCTTTTTGGGAGCCTTTCCGTTTACAGTACGCAGTTTTATTAGCTCTGTTAACTTTGGCTCTCGTTGCATTTTATGATCGTGGTTAAAGCTGATCGCTCTATTTAACAACGGCTTCTTAGTCCCATTATTAACTGTCAGTGGATCAGTTCATTGAGCTACGCTAAATAACGCTTGCCAGGTGTCCTCTTTAGAATTACATTGGGGTCCATGGCCCTCGTTCTTCAAAAATTATCATCCGAGAGGGCTGTCTATGCGTTTTAAACTCTACTCGAGCACGAGCACCATGTGCTATCTCTGACTGTTGGAGGACTTCACTCGTACTCAACGATTTGCTACCACTCACTTTCAGCCAGTCACTCCTTGGTCAGACACCTGCAATCTCATCAACTTCCACCTGGGGCCTTGGGTAGACCCCAACTGCTCTCTGAAATCACGGTTTCGAGCTTGACTCGGTCTCCACAGCGCTCTGCGTTTAATGATTGAATTAAAGGCACCGAGTGCTACCCTTCAGTCAGACCTCGTTTACCACATTGCCTTATCTGTCAGACTATTGAGGGATATAACAACTTTCCACGTGTTCGTCAACCAGCCGGCCCGTGGCCTAATGGATCACAAATCTTCCTTGTAATCCGATGGCGCGGGTTCGAACCTTTGTAGGGGACCGGGCGATTCTCGCAGTATCCTTAGCCTACGCGCAACTGGTGGCGGTTGCGCGGCAGCGAAACCTCGGTACTGCGTACCGGAGTACTGCTGAAACCCGTTTTTAAGCACTCGCTCACGGGACGTTGTCACTTACAATTTTTCTCTTTCGTCTCCATTCCTTTTCACAGTCCTTTTTTAAGTTGACGGGAAAGCCAATTAAAAACTTCATAAACTATGCTAGCAAAGATGCTGTTTAATCATTCAAACGTAGAGCGCTATTTGGTTAGATCAGTCAATGTGCGACACTCGCAATGACTTTACACTTCATCGGAGTTGACACGTGCTGTCTTCGATACTGGTATACTAGGTACAGTTTTCTAATCCAGGTGCGTTTGTCAGTTTGAGGTGCAGCTAACAGGGCGTACTCGCTCTACGCTGATGCCGGAACCACGTATCATGGTATTTACGGTGTTCGAATCGCTTCCAGTAGAGGTGCGAGAACTTTTCTGAAACTGATTCCAGCGGAAATCGGTTTATGTGCTATTCGACTTCGTAGCTCCATGGGAGTCAATAAACGCCGACGGAAAGCCAAGCGTCTTTCTTATTTTAACGCGCTCCTGTCCACTGTAGCTCAGGATCGGTCAAAGGCGAACTCTAGCAACAATTCTTCTCTTTTATTTGTATGTTCATAAGTACGGGCATCAGGATTATTGCGGGTTCCATGAATGTTCAAGTTAGCGCTTAACAGAATCAATACATCATTCGGGAGACCGCTTCGGGGTCCATACGATTACTTTTGGTCGTGTGTTAGTCCAAATCTCTATCTCACGAGTACAGTTTTACAGCCCACACACTCGCATTGAAGTGTACAGTTGCCACCGAATGAACGACAATCTTGGCATCAATTTGACCAAACCAGCATCGTTTGTAGATGGCTCACATCGGTGCAAGAGTGTCAATAAATGTGGAGCACTTTCCTCGTTTCGTGCATACCCGCGTAACCCTTTGGTTATGTGTTCATCTTCGAAACTGCTTTCTGGTCAACCGTATTGGCAATCCTCGAACCGGCAACGTGAGTCTGCGTTGTGACATTATTTGTCACTGCAGAACTGTTGTGATTTCTGCTAATTGTACGGATAACCTGCTGCTACCACGCAAGCTGACCGACCGACTGCCAGATTAGAAGACAAAGGCATCACGCCAGAATTGTATTGCGCACCCGACAAGCAGTATAAGGAAATTAGGTTATGGGGTCGAATCAATCGTTAATATGGGAATGATTGCAAGTGACGATGATGAATTAGCTGAGTATTTGTATGGCCTAGCGCTCACTGACAGGCTTCAAGTTAGACTATCCCATTGGTAGCATTCAAGGTGAAGCGTCATCCTTAGCTTGCTCTCATTGGTTGGCCAATAAGCCTCGACCTGTGTCATGGTCATCTGTTTCAAGCTGCTAGAAAAGGGTGCCTGCCCAGTTAACAAAATCTGTTTGAACCTGCCAAATACGGACTGGATTTACTTCCAATTTGCTATGCATAAAGCATCCGATCTCTTGTTCGATTGGCTCATTTGAGGCACGATCGACAGTTCCAATTGGATGCTATTTTCAGTTTTGTTTGTAACGTCCCGAAACGTTATCTAACCAGTGGGCTGAGAGCTCTAGGGGCTGCTAAAGTCTGCAAGAGGAAGAACACCAGCACTGTTTGGAACGTCGTGTCCAAACTCATCAGAATCACTAGTACAAACTAGCTTCACCAAACTGAGACAGTGGCTACGAAGAATGTACTGCTGATTCACTCTTAACTACTTGACTGGAACAATGGACTTAGAACTTTGAAGTGTGGCTTAACTGGCCTGCGATATCAGAGTTGTTACTTAGGTCACCACAGTCCACTTAAGACATTGACACAACAGCTCCCAATTTTTCCGACATCCGACCCGAAGTTTCACTTTCGGAGCGAAACAAAACTCCTGACCTAGGCGACCATCGTTAATAAAAGACAAACGCGACTCCCTAATTGTTACCTTGTCCACTCTACCTGATGCCATTTTACGCAAGGAGGAAGTG